TTTCCAGGACCCAAACAGCAAATATAAGACGTCTCTGTATTCTGGACGTAAGAAATCGAACGTTGTTGGTATTTGTTTGGCTGAGACAATATTTAAAACTGCATACTCTTGCTTATCTTCGATATTTCAAAAAAATACAGTTGCAGAGGAAATACTGCGTAACACATTATTTCAATATTGTTTTCGAGATACACGCGCCATATTACGTGGCATGCCCTTCAGAAATGGCAAAGTTTTTTTGGAACTTTTCGGCATTTCCCGAACATTTTAGGCATGATAGACGGCACAATTTATCGAATCAATCGTCCTCAGTTCTGGTCCTCTTCGAGCACAGTTCTACTGTGGTGACAAGAAATGACATTTCATAACAAGTCGTTGTTGACCCAGAGGGTTTAATTGTAATGCTTGTTTTAGGGCGAGTTTTACAAAAGAAGTACGACTCAGGATTTTGTATTTTTAAAAGTGTCTATAATATTTTGTTCAAAGTATTACCCTTAACATTGCTAGGTATTACCCTACCAACATTAGGAAAAATAGTCTTTGTAAACTTCCGTAGAACTTCGTTAATATCCTTGTTATTATCCTTGTTGTTGTTTTTGCTATCTTTAAATTTTAATAATATAATTCATAATTGTGTCACATTATCCTTATCTTAACATCAATCGAAATTTATACTACAAATGTTTCTCTGGGTCCTCCGGTTTTCCTCCCTCAGTAAAAATCAACATGTGAGGAGTGTTGTGTGCTAAAAAAATACTTAATGTAGAGGTAGTGCGTGTGAGAGTACAGGGCCCGCAGTAATACTGGCTCACGCTGTTGCGGTGTCCCTGCCCAAAMTAGGGGCAAAAGCTAATAAATAAATATGAATAAAATTTTAATTTCTTAATTTGATACAGGGTCGTTGTTTTCTAACCCTGTATCACGAACTGCGCACGTTTATCAAGAATAAACAGAATAAAATCAATCATCTTTTCGTTTATTCTGTGTATATCCTTGRCTGTTTGTTGYCTTGCTTTTCATTTCTTCTTTTATTCCACTATTTCTTCTTTTGTTTYTCTCWRCTGAGTGCATTCTATTCGTGCTTTATTGCAATTATCTTTTTTTCTCTTTTTTCTAAATATGTGTTGAATAACAATCACATCTGTAAAAATGGAATATATTGATTTA